TCTGACGAGCGCCCGTACCAGTGCACTTTGTGTGACTACCGCGCAGGTCTCAAGAACACCCTCGACACCCATATGAAGTACAAGCACAGTGACGAGAAGCCCTTCAGCTGCACAGTGTGCAGTTACCGCTGTGTGACCAAGGGACAGCTCACTATTCACCAGAGGAAGCATACTGGGGAGCGTCCGTACAAGTGTCCGTACTGTTCGTACGACACCGCGCAGCAGAGCAACTTGAAGTCGCACGTGAAGCACCGTCATCCTAACCAGAACCAGCACATCTTCAACTCACGTCGTGGCCGCAAGAGGAAATATCCGCTACCTTACGAGGAGAATAATGTTGACATGTTCAACCCATATCCGGTTACCATGGCGTACAATGCTTCGTTTAACTCGGAGTACACTGCACCAAGTCCTGCTGACGAGAGCTTGATTATAAGTGAGGGGGAGATGAACGAGTCTTTCATGGGAAATTCTTCCTCTGCTGTTGAGGAGGGAAACACCCCGGAGGGAGTGATGATGCCGATGGTGGAGCAGCAGGAGGGTGTACAAGATGTTGTTCAGCAGTAGTTGTGCTTCATCTATAGCTTGTGTGTGAGTGTGTGTGTGTGAATGTGTGAATGTGTGAATGTGTGATGGTGCATGATGATTGATCTTGGTTGAACTCCAAAATCGCGAAAGAGACTGGTTGGATTGCGTATTTTAATGGACCCCGGAGGATGGAATCTGAGCTGATCGCTTCAGAACCCGGAAGACACTAGTCCGGAAGGACACGTCAGGTTTTTAATCTCACGACCCGTTATGATTGATTTATATAAGGACTATTTTAAGTGAAAGTATGATCTAAGACCTTGAGAGCTTGGATCATGAATACAGTGTTAATAAACTCGATGGCTACGGACCGGATACGGCTACTATTAGGTAAAACGACAAACGAATCGAACGGTGACAGACGACCCACAGATGTCATATAATATAATTGTATTACCCCCAATACCATCCCTAACGAAATTTCCTAACAGATTATTGCCTAGATTTAAGTTATAAGTTATTGCTATAATATTGATTTGATTCTTTATATACCTGAGAAATACTGTGTCTGTATATCAACACCGCAGATGCATTTAAATATGTTTGCTTATATGATATTGGATGTGTTGAGTTCATTTGCATCGCCATTATGCTGAGTCCCATGGCGTCGCGCCACGTCATATCCTACCCTATTAAATAATGTGGGAGATAAGACCGGTTTCACGTTGACCAGTTTTAATTTAGGAACTGGTTTAATGTGGTTATTTTATCTAAGTTGACAACTTACTTGACCTATTCTTCCAATAGTGTGACCCTTTCTTCGTATATCTGTTAGTTTAATGGCGGTGCAGTGGACGTAGGATTTTTATTACATTTTATAAGGATTTTGTGTGATCTTTAATTATAATAAGCTTATTAACACAAAGTTAACATTTCTTTATTAACACAAAGTTAACATTTCTTTCACTTCACCACATCTCATGCAATACTGTAAACCTCCTGATGCGAATCTTGCGAGATTCCTTCTTCTTCATTTTCCTCATTCATTGTTATCTCTTTGAGCAATCGTTCTATAACTTATTTGCTATTTGATTTCAATTATGGTATATTGATATAATATATTATAATAGGTTATGCATGAAGATGATTTTATAATTGATTGCAATCCGAGTACTTACTAAACCTCCTTCTTAGTACTATTATAACATTGGGATTGATTGGTAAAGCCCACTTAATTTATCAATTAGTGCTAGTATAGTCTATTATGTTACATCAAATCTAAATTTACTTCTCTCTCTCTATATAGTATATTATATTATGATACGTCTCAAAATAGATAACGAATTAAAATAGCTTTATCAATTCTGCATAAAAAAGCGAATTAATTGTCACGATTCTGATTGGTAATTTATATTAACAATTATGATTTATAGTATGATAGTTATAATAACAACAATAATATGTCTCTTAACTCACTTTCTATTCAATGTAGTTTTATGTTCGAAATATTAGGAGTATTTTTTAAGACCGGGGAGTTAACACAGCATAAATGGAATTTAATAAGATAATTGAACACATTAAGTTTTGTAAAATTCTCGCGTTAAATTCTTATACAAAAAGCCTTAAACTCGCTAATCCTAACATATTTTTTCGTGAAACTTAAGAAATTTTTGTTATAAGAAATCGTTTATAATAATCCATGATGAAGAGTATACTTTTTTACTAGTGTAAATAGTTAATCCGATATGAAATTTAAAATAGACTTTACCACAACTGGGTTGGTGGGGAAGATGTGCTTTCACACGTGATAGCTTTTCACAATTTTAACGAATCACCAACCCGTCACCATGGTGACCGCCTACTTGTAGCGCTGTTATGTGCCACAGACCCCCTCCCCCTGCCTCCCCAATTGTAGTGAAGTCTATGAAATGTAAACTGTTCCACTTTTCTACCCAATATATGTATGTTATTCACGTGTTTAGAAGTTTAAAATTTATACCCGTTATAAGACTTATTGTACTTAGCAGTTAAAACATGTGTTTGATGGGGCGGAGAGAAGGGACGCATTGGTATTGTAACTTGATTTATCGGTGAAACAAAAACAACCAAATGTAACAAGATAATTGTATAATTATCCGCATGCGGCCGCATAATTATTTACTTATGCGGTCATGTAATTATGTGATTATTCTATGATATACCAGATACCTTATTACAACCAGTGTTTCCCCACCTCCGCAATTCATCAAACACGTCTGTTTACATCTCTGTTTATATTAAGTCCACTAATCACGTGACTAATCGCGTGGTGTGACGTCATGCCACGTGGTGTGACGTCACACCACGTGACATTAATCACGCCACAATCTTAAGTTTGATATTATCTTTGATCTAACCTCTGTCTTCTTCATTTCTGTTGCACTTCAAATCTAAAACTTATTTAGTTACTATAACGAACGATGAGTGTATAAAATTATGTTGTGGTTATATTTAGAGTTTTTTTGGCATGCCTTTTTACGAGCAGTATTTACTTTATTTTGATAATATAACATCTTGGACTGTGCAACAACATCACCTACATGGTTGATTAACGTTTTAATTAGGCTACACGTTGTGACGTCATGTCACGTGGTGTGACGTCACACCACGTGACACTGATTACGGCACGTTGTGCTTAAGATGATGCTGGTGCTTCAAATTTGTGTTGCGACGAAATTTTGCGCTTCTGAAGCAGATCATAGACGAGTAGGGAGTTAACATAAATTCTCATCTCCTCCATTGGCCATTTTGTCAGTGGAAGAGCGGTGTTACCTGCCCAAGATTACCCATGACCATGTCTATGATTTGCAGCTCATTTTATAACGTCGTGGCGCAACAATTCAAACTACTTAAATTCTGCACGCTACGTGCAGTGCCGGCCAAAGCAGCATTTTAAAGATATGTTTGGTACGTATCCAGCATCATCCACTGCATAAAAGTGCAACATCATATACTGCACGTGCGTAAAAGCGCAACATCATATACTGCACGTGCGTAAAAGCGCAACATCATCTTAGCACTCTCCCGAGTTTGTTTCAATGACTTGTGGTGCGAGTCATTGTGGTGCGGAGATGTGGTTTTAAAGAGACAGTGAGTTTTAAATAACTGTCACCTGAAGATTGAGTGAACCATATTACTGGTACGCTCTACTTCTTCATGGCTTGGGAAGGCTTTCAATCGAATATTTTATTAGCAACCCCGGAGAGGATGATGGTTACGAGATATCACCACGTGTTTAAAGTATTTACAAGTCAACTGTGTTGTTTTGCCCCTCCCTACTTTGTGTTGTCAAGTGAAGTTGGTCCTGTGACGTCATGAGAATTAGACCTGTGTGTTTTAATAAAATCACGTGACATGAAAAAATGAATAAAATGAGAGGAGGGTGTGATTTTCAGTGATTTCAGAGACCAACTTCATCTGATACTGTGCGTGTTACCTGGTTTCTCCCCTGTTACCTGGTTTTCCCTTCTAAAACAATATGAAATACCTCCAATAACAACAAGAAATCCTTGAAAAGCTGCAATTGTTGACTTGTGGATATTTAATTAGTTAATTGGTAAAATTTAATTGATCTGCACTATACGAAACTATTCTGTAACCTCTTTCACCAAACTGCTTTACCAGCTTATCTACTGCATTAGTAATGAAATGTCTATAATTTGTGAAGTTGTGTTTTGTTCATCCTAAGTTTGAGATCCTATGGCCACGTTACGTGTAGACTTCCAAACAAATTTTCCATTTTAAATTCATCCCAAAAATTGACATTCCACTTCTTCCAAAACTAGATTCGTTCCAAATTTAACTAAATGTTATACAGGCTGGTGGGCCAGAAACAACGCAATGTAAGCACTTGCAATGCAAGGGAATAGCGTCTAGTTGAACACAACCTCATCTATGACGAGTTGCGTTAATTCTGGACCACCTCCTGTGAATACGCCATATTGATCTCAATATTACCGACTTCATACTAATTTTCTACTTATAAAGAGCAGAAATTGGGACCTATCAAGGATTCCACTTATCACCAAATTGTTATTAAAAAATATCTTCATATCATAACTTCATAAGTGAGATCAAGGCTGAAGTCTACACTGTGGCCGATTGTGTTATATACGACAACAGTTGAGGTCATAAGTTATATAATATCAAATCGTTATGTATGAGTTTAACTTATACAGAATATATCTAGATTTAAAATATACTGATGATATATGATATTATATTACGCTACATTTTTATTATATTTGATACAAGCCCGTGTTTTTCATTGTTTTCTCTAAGTTGTCTCCTTGTACTTTTTCTGTAGAACATTTTCTGGTAACACAATTTTCAACTTCATGTCTATGAAATGAATTCGTATAATTTCTCATGGAAATGCCGAATAAATGATGTTTCTGACAACAGAGGGTTAAAAATACCGAACATTTCCTTTTAGGAAGGCAGTAGGTGAGCTTGAGATGTAATTATGAAGCTCGAATCGGTGTCGTTACCTACGGACAAGCAGTACCTATACTATCTTATTATCAGGTAATTAAGTTATTTATTAAATATCTTGTGATTACGTCACGTTTGTTTTTATTTCTTCTGTACAGTATGATTTATCAATATAATCTTTTTTGAATAATTTGTCGCACAAATCATTTCAAGATTAAAACATCAAAATATGTAGTTTTTAATTAATTTGACAGTGATCCTCACATTTTTTTAGTAGCTGGTCACATGTTTTCTAGTAGCAGGTCACATGTTTTCTAGTAGCAGGTCACATGTTTTCTAGTAGCAGGTCACATGTTTTCTAGTAGCAGGTCACTTGTTTTCTAGTAGCAGGTCACATGTTTTCTAGTAGCAGGTCACATGTTTTCTAGTAGCTGGTCACATGTTTTTTAGTAGCAGGTCACTTGTTTTCTAGTAGCAGGTCACTTGTTTTCTAGTAGCAGGTCACATGTTTTCTAGTAGCAGGTCACATGTTTTCTAGTAGCAGGTCACATGTTTTCTAGTAGCAGGTCACATATTTTCTAGTAGCAGGTCACATGTTTTCTAGTAGCTGGTCATGTATGTTTTCTAGTAGCAGGTCACATGTTTTCTAGTAGCAGGTCACATGTTTTCTAGTAGCAGGTCACATGTTTTCTAGTAGCAGGTCACATGTTTTCTAGTAGCAGGTCACATGTTTTCTATTATCTGGTCACATGTTTTCTAGTAGCTGGTCACATATTTTCTAGTAGCAGGTCACATGTTTTCTATTATCTGGTCACATGTTTTCTAGTAGCAGGTCACATGTTTTCTAGTAGCAGGTCACATGTTTTCTAGTAGCAGGTCACATGTTTTCTAGTAGCAGGTCACATGTTTTCTATTATCTGGTCACATGTTTTCTAGTAGCAGGTCACATGTTTTCTAGTAGCAGGTCACTTGTTTTCTAGTAGCAGGTCACATGTTTTCTATTATCTGGTCACATGTTTTCTAGTAGCAGGTCACATGTTTTCTAGTAGCAGGTCACATGTTTTCTAGTAGCAGGTCACATGTTTTCTAGTAGCTGGTCACATGTTTTCTAGTAGCAGGTCACATGTTTTCTAGTAGCAGGTCACATGTTTTCTAGTAGCTAATCACATGTTTTCTAGTAGCAGGTCACATGTTTTCTAGTAGCAGGTCACATGTTTTCTAGTAGCTGGTCACATGTTTTCTAGTAGCTAATCACATGTTTTCTAGTAGCAGGTCACATGTTTTCTAGTAGCAGGTCACATGTTTTCTAGTAGCTGGTCACATGTTTTCTAGTAGCTGGTCACATGTTTTCTAGTAGCAGGTCACATGTTTTCTAGTAGCAGGTCACATGTTTTCTAGTAGCTGGTCACATGTTTTCTAGTAGCTGGTCACATGTTTTCTAGTAGCAGGTCACATGTTTTCTAGTAGCTGGTCACATGTTTTCTAGTAGCTGGTCACATGTTTTCTAGTAGCTAATCACATGTTTTCTAGAAGCTGGTCACATGTTTTCTAGTAGCTGGTCACATATTTTCTATTAGCTAATCACATGTTTTTCAGTCAGCTCTACAGTGATGGGCACATGGAGGCAGCAATGAAACTCGAGATGAGTGTCCTTGACACTGCAGGTGAGATTTCACTACAACAGTTTTATATTTTTATCTTTCTTATTTCATTGGTCGAACGTTTATTTTAAAAGTTCTAATTAATTTATTTTATAGTTCGACCAATTTATTGTACCTGACATTGATGACCTATTTGTCCACAAGTCTGACCCATTAATCATAAACTATTAGAGTTTGATCCACGCTAAATCATGTGACCTATTTGTTCCAAATTCGACACACCTCCCGATTCCCATAATAATATAACCGTTAAATATAATACTATTTGTAATAATATTCCCGTTTCATCCCCAGGTCACGTGATACCAAGTAACAGACTGAGCAGTATCCTGTCTGCCTGTCTGCTGAGTCTGAGTGATGTGGCTGACTATCTTAGCAATAAACAGAGCAATGGTGAGATTTGTACATCTTATATTAATTAAATTAACTATCAGTTGTCTCTTACTGGTTATTAGATCATTACTATTATTATATTCTGTTTTACTACCGTTTTGATAATATCTTTTATATATCAAAATATACATAATAATATATCTTCAAGATTCTTCAAGATATATTATAATATTATCTTGTGAGATAATCCAAATCAATCTAACGTCTCCCCATTTTAGCAAAGCCCCTCACGCCGCCCTCGCCACCCACGTCCCTGTCCAATCTGAACAGTTTGACACGGAAACGCCTTCACTCAGGCCCTCCCTCCTTATACCCCACCACAACAGGTTACAACTCCTTACTACGACTAATAATTAAGTTTTGTTAAGTACGTGATTATTGAGTATGTTGTAACGAAACACTGGAATGTCGACCCTTACTCGTTTTCGTTCTTCTTTCTTCTATCTTGTTACTCGTTTTCGTTCTTTCTTCTATCTTTAACTCGTTTCCTTTCTTCAGCTAACTTAATAACCAGAAATATAAAACTGTAAAATCCACCCAACAGAATCAGCGCCTCCAGTTGCTCCAATGGTACTGTTAAATCAATCCAACGGAGGAGACAACCACGTCAACACAACCACACAACAACCGGCACACGTCCTCGCTTTAGAAGAAGAGGAATCAATCCAATCACAACTCTCAAAAGAACTGGAAGAGATCTGCAATGCTGCAGTGCAGGAAGTGACCTCTAAAGTTGCTGACAACAGCCCTAAACAAGGAGACAACGTTAAGATTGAACCTGCAGATGTTAAAGTAGAACCCTACGATCAAGACGTCCTCTCTCCAGAACCAGTTCCTGGTACCCCACTCAGCAACAGTGCACTCAGTACCCCACTGATAGGCAGTGCCGCGGAGACTACTCCTGCCTCTGCTGATGAGGCTACACAGAACCTGATCAACAACCTCTCCAATATCACCTCTATCAGCGAGATTAATGAGATTACGGAGTTGACGCAGTCTCTTGTTGAAAGTCTTGTTCAGGTTAATTGAATAATTTTGTTATTTTAGTTCTTTTTTTTCATTGTCCTGATTATTTATTGGGATTATTGTGCTACGTTTAATGTTTGAAAATTCCTAAATGGATCATCATTCCATGCTCATTCCCTAAATTAAGCAAGAGGATATCAATCATTTTATCAAGCTCACAACAAATGTTTTGGTAATCACAATTTTACTCAGGGTAACACAGTGTTCAACGACGACATTTCATCTGCAACAGGTGAAAACAACAACCTTTACAACGTCCCACCTGTAGCTTCTGTAACGAGTCCCACTAAAGAGGAATTCATTGACGGGAGTGACAAAAGTAAGTTACCAGATAAAGTACTTTCGTTACAAAATAATTTATATTTCATGATTATATCGTTACCTAATACCTACAAATGAAAAGGGCCTAAGTCGACTACATTGTCCCAAAATATGGAAGTAATCTGATGAAATTTGAATCTTTTAGAACTTTAGAAGCGGCTTATGTCGACTTCGGCCTTTTTATTTAAATTTATCATAGGAAATATTATATACAAACTAATTGGGCCTATGGCCATGTCGACATAGGTCTTTTGAATCTTCATATTCTGGATTTTTGATAATTAGAAAGGTCCTAGATGTCAACAGACTATTTTTTAATTAATTTTAAAGCTTTCCAGGCCTTTTAAATGTTAATACCCAAAGAGTTGGCCCCAGTTATTTATAGATATGTAACGTTATAACAAACATCTAGTCAGTGGACTGTAAGACCTGTCCAGGTTCTAGCAAGAAAATAATGATATTGATATTAACATATTTTAGGAACCTGAATATAGTAATAATAATAATAAATTGAAATTTAATAACACCGCTATTAAGATAAAACTTATACTCAGCAGTGTTTAAACTAGTCATCCCAGAAAATAACATGAATACTAAGTTTAGAAAAGTAACTTATGCTCGAAAACAAAGTACTGTGGACTCTTTTGGTATTAAAGTTTAAAAGGCCTGGAAAGCTTTGAAATTAATTAAAAAATAGTTTAGAACGTATTATGAAAAGGCCCTGGGCCTATGCATGTACATGCATAATACGTTCTAAACTATGTTTTAAAAGGGCCTTAGCCGAGATTTAAGTAGATTTTTAAATTAGCCAAAGTTAGTGTGAGAATGTTATGCTGTAAGTCACCTCAGCTAGGTTCAGTCACTATGGATTTGCACAAGAACATGCCTCATTACCATATATGTGGACAGAAACACGCTTTTTTGAATTAGGCCCTTTTAATTTATATGTGACGATATTATTATAATATTATATTATTTAGATTAAACATCATGGCTAATTGCATGACCTTATATTATAAGGTCATATAACGTAGCCAATAGCCATGATGTTTGATATTATAAATATTTCGTTCGTGGTTAGATGTTTTATTGTCTCTGAGTAGATAAAAGCCTTCTAATAAAACAAAGTACTTGTACGGAATAGATAACCTAGGCTATTGGCAGTGCATTTGACTAATTGAGACAGCCATTAACTAATTTAATTCTTTCCAATTATACACCTCATACAAGTCATCCGCTTTAAAGTCTAAACTGAGTGATGTATCAGAATTTGTGAGGACGTATTTTTGCTGTGATGTTGAAAATTTGTAAGGGCTAATTAGTATTAATTAGTAATTTGCTGCAAACCACTAGTTCTGAAGAAAACGTTCGGAAGAGTAAGGAGCACATTAAGAACAACATTCCAAACGGTTTGTTGCTCGTTTTTCTCATGGTATTGGATTTGTTAGTGAGTCGCAGTAAACCCGTACTTTTACAGCACTATTAAGTATTAATAATATTAGATAAATATTAGATAAAGGTTACCACTAGTTGACTAATATGTTGACACTGCAATATTTCAAGTTTGTTATAAATAATCTATGTCTCTTCGTTACGATCGATGTGATGATTTAAGTTACTGAGCTACCTGCTTCCGCAGCAGTAAAGATTGAACTGATTTACATAATAAATTAGTTAATAAATTCTTACATGTATAACTCCGACTTACAACAGTATGTATTACGAAAGTTTTAGAATTTAAAGTTTCAAAGCCTTCCAAGCGTGGGTTAACAGATTAAATGGTTTAAGAGACAGTTACATAAGTTGACAGACGGTTATATAAGGTTTTGTAATCGGGCTATTGACATGAGAAAAGTATGAATATTGTTAATATTATGTGTTAAATAGAGCAACTACCCAATCTGTAAATCTACTAATATAAATAGAGCCACACTATGATTAGCTTGTAAGCTTTTATGTTGAATTTAAATTACTTACGTTGAATCAAGAAAATTAACGGATTTTCTTTGCGCTCTCTTTTTTAAATAAAAGGCTAATTCATCTGAGTGTAATAAGAAGGAAGTGCACATAATTAAAGAGAATAAATTCAATGTTCGCCACTATTTAACTATTCATTAAAAAGTAACGGAACATGTAAAATGCTGTAAAATTTAACATGTTTTGAGTGTACGTTCATCGCAAGGTGCAAACTGCAAACGCATCATAACATTTCCATCTCAATTTACATGCACAACAGCTGATCTCTTTCTACATATTTTATTAAATTGTTGCAAATGTACGATGTGTATATCGCTACGTTATGTAAGAATATAAAATACTGTATTTTGTATTTTATTTACACGCTTGCAGCAGGCTGTACTGTATAGCTTGTTGCTTCCTGCTCAATAAATTTAATATATTTATTGAGCAAATGTTATATTATAGATGTGATGTGTGTGCTGGCGATGATATTGGTTTAAAATGTTAGTTAACTGTTAGTTAATACCTGTAGCTGAGCTGTAATCGTTACATGGTTTAAGAGGCAGTAAAGCTAAACTAGATAATCTTTGAAATATTGAAATGTAAATTATGTAGTTTATCATGAGGCCTTTTCTCTTCTACCACACCGGTAATTAACGGATTTGTTGTGCGGCAAATATTTGTTCAATGAAATATTGTGGCAATTCATATAATCATAAAGATTAATTTTATCATCGGTATGAAATATTAAGGGTTAAGTTTTCGCGACTTTCGAGATTCCTTTCTTTAAGAAAATCGAGGACAACGATTACTTGCTTTACAATTCAGGCAAAAACAATCCCGCCCATATTGCGTGTTGTAACGTCACATCACGTGGTATCACGTGGTGTGACGTCATTTATCTTGTTCATATGACATATCCCGATCATTTCATCATATCACTAGCAGTTGTATAATGAAGTGGCGGTACCTCGACATTTTGAGTTCAGACGGGGGGAGATCATACACTTAGTACCGGACATCACGTTGGTGGGTGGGTCATTTTTTCTTCTAAAAACACAGTTAGTACATGGTACTAACTGGTGGGTCTACTGCCCATTTTCCAGAAAAACAGTTAGTACATGGTACTAAAGGGGGTGTCTAACCCCAAAAAAACCCATTTTACCTCAAATTTCAATTTTGGGAATGGGTTTTGAGGTTTTTTAAAGTTTTTTTTTGGGTTTTTTTTAAATTTTTAAAATTTTGTAAAGTCTTCCTTTAAAATTTAATTGAGCTCTTTTAAAAAAAAAGCAATTTCTGGGTGGGTATCTTACGTATTATCCAAAAAAACAGTTAGTACCGCAAAGGGGGTGGGTGGGTCTAGTGAAAAATATCCAAAACTACACTTAGTCGACGTGATGTCCGGCACTTGGTACCTGATCCCCCCCCCCCCCCCCCCGGTTCAGAACGGGTTCTTGAGAATTCTGTATTGGAATGACCACGATCAATTAAACCGTTTTATTGTAATATCAAATAGCCCTTCAGTATTGTTCAGTAGGGAACAATACGACTCTCGACAGACAAAGTGAAACAAGGCAAATGACTGAAATGACTGAAATGAAATAATCAACGTTTCGGCACGTTTCGGCACTCATTGGCATTGGCCTTTTACCAAGATTACCAATGACTATGAGTGCCGAAACATCGATTATTTCATTTAGTTTTTACCAGTCATTTGCCTTGTTTCACTTTGTCCGTCGAGAGCTGTGATGCTCTCCAATCTCTACTGAACACTACAATGTTAAAACCTCACGAACGACCTTACGAAACCTTTTGCTCTGACAAAAGCTATACGTGGTGAATTTATCTATAAATCCAACATGACGTGTCATCATGATCAACAAAAAAGCAACTCTTACTGATGAATAATCTAGCAAGACTTGAAGTTTTAAAACAATTTTAAAAGCTCGATACAATAATTTTTATTTTCCAAGTATGTACATCGCCGGTATCTCGTGAACGACGCAGACTTCACGTATTCTTACAATATTTAACGGCTTTCGCACGATTCTGGTACTCATTGTAACTTTTAAAATATCTAGAGAGGTTTTGTTTTCCGCTACAATAAAATCGTTATAATATATTATGTTAAATAAAACTTTATATACAACACTTCAGATACCCGACTGTGTATTGATCCCCATACCCATGAAAATTTATAAAACTTAGCCTCAACCGGTTTTTAAAAGTCTCCGAAATATGTCCAATGTCTAAGCTTAACATATTAACTAGAGCATATTTGTTTACAGTCGTTGAATCCAGCATTAAATTTGCGAGCCTGTCACCAGCTACTTGACGTCTTAAAACTTTATAATTTAACCCTTATAAATAGTCGCCACGCTGTCTCTTCGGTATTTTTCTCCCGATCGCAACGGGAGTAAATTGTATTGTAAATTTTATTGCGATATCCGCATCTCAACCTTATTTATAATCATAAAGTTACAAGTAAACTTAGTTAAGTGGCGGGAGTTGTCAAAGGGAAAAGTATCTCATTAAATATAGCTTTGACTTTCACATTTCGATCTGAAACTTTACAATATTATGAATAACTTAATTAATTAACATTATGAGTAACTTAATTGGCATCGCAAGAGATCAACATTAATCCGTTGGTTCGGAAATAACATTCCTTCTAGAAGTACTGTAACATTCGTCCGATCGACAAAGGCTAAATTCCATTACACATATTAATAATTTACCTACAAGAACACTGGTATAAACAGCTGTACCAGTGTACATTTACTTCAGCCATACTTGTCATCAACTGTTAGTTATCCAATTTATCCTCCATCAGCGTAGCACATCAATATATATTATATATCACAATTACAACATTATCTATATCAATGTAATATATATATAATAATATCTTTGTTCAACTTCAGTCTTCAAGTCATTTCTTTGTTCTATCCAGGCTTTTAAAACTCTGAAATAGACTGAACAACTGTACTGAAGCTATTGAAGTTACGCACATATAGACAACAACTGTTCTCTTGTAGTTTGAAGAGTTAAACTCGTGTAGCTAACAGTGCAATCTCATCATCAGTCAACAGCTGAGACTTAGGTGATGAAGACAGTATATGTAGATATTATCGCTGTGGTATTGTGTGATATTGTGTGATTTGAATACCTATAATGATGAAATTGACTGTGTACTTTAAATGAACTGAGTTGTGTGCAGTTTAATTCCTGTGATTCTTCTCTAGCAAGCGTGATTTAAATAAAATGGTCACAGCGTGGATGATGTTCGGAGAGAGAGCGCAATCATCTCTGTGTGTACGTGTCTGTAGCTGTAGCTGTATCTTATCTCACTTTGATTAAGTCCAAAAACCAGTAACCACGTCCAGCATTCAGCAACAGTAAGATTCTACTTAAATTGTCATCCGTATTTTTATTGTTTCTGCTTATTATTTCATTGTATACCCAGCAGAGCGACTGGTTAAAATGAACTGTGGATATGTAAAGCAGAATAAATGCGGTTAAAATGGTATAATTAAGTAAAGCTATTGTTGGGTAATTCCCAGTAACCTAGTATCTTACATTTAAATCTAGACCAACATCAAAGCTTTAAATAAGCTTTAAATAAGTAGCTATAACTTATCATACAGCTTGCAGATGATATTTCCCTGGTTTTATTTTCTGTGGAACTGATGTTTCGATGGTTAGTGTGCTGGAAGTGCCAGGAAACATGTTGCTCGTAATATTACTTTTATCTGTACATAATATTGTATGGCAGTTGTAAGATTAAGAAGTTAATAGTCGGGAAGTTAAGAAACATTCAGGGAAATTGAATTAAAAAACAGATAGTTAATTAGTTAAGGTTCATGAAATTAAGACAGTTATGGAGTTTTTTAATTTCATGGTTTTTTTAATTTCGCGGTAACAAAATATCCTTATGAACCCAGTGACCTCCCTTAAATTATAAAGTCACGTGACTTACTTCTGGGTTCTGACCAATTATAGAAAAATTCAAGGGTCACGTGGCTATTTATTAACCAATCAAAAGGCTCGATTTACTTTGAACTCACTAACAGATGGTATTAAATATCAATTTGATTTGCTCAATTATACCAATTTGATAGCACCTTTTATCGGGTTGGATTACCGGTAATGTGAACCAAATATTTACTTTATTTAGCAAAATTTTAAGTTATACCACTTGTCCGTCTGGAAATTTAATTGGAACAGAATCTGTCTGTTGATTACAGGGAATTATGAGTGGTGTCTGTCATCAGGGATATGGTCTAATGACACGACTCTAGGATTAGTAATTGTTCAAAAAGAAAAAGTCAATGAAAAGGGATAGATTTGATTAAGTGCACATGTTGAACACTTGAACAGTTGAACATGTTATATTGGATATATTTTCAAAAGAAAGGGAAATATCCTGAATTTACTTTGCACAACAGTGTGTCACAGCTCGGCGTTATTATTGCACACACTCCACATATATCTCGGCTTTATATATAACAAAATATTAACAATAATGTAAAACTTATTAAACTTTAGCAGGAACAAGCCTCACCACGTGCTGCTATGTCAGCCAATCAGTGTTGAGCATATCCCCATGGCAACCAATAGCGGGCTTCCATTTGTATCACGTGACAGCGGGATGACCAATAGGATGCTACTCAATTAGTTGTAATAAATTAATGTTATATACAGTAACCCATGGCACAGTGTACACCAGCTCTCTGTTACATATGATTGACTGCTCTTATATAATACAAAGGTACCAATTAGACACTGTAGACACCGCCCGCCACCCAATCACTCATCAGGACAAACCGATCATGCAACCAATAGGAAACGTCTAATCCGCCCACGTGACAAGTACAGACCAATCACGACCAGGGATTCCGCCCACGTGTCAATATCCCGCCAATCAGATAAGGGCCGCGTGATACTGTTATATGCGGGCCGGGTCCCCTGTAATGCGATACTAGCTGTGTTCTAACTGTGCCCTTATATGGAATAATTTGACGTGTAATTGATAACTTGTAAAGCTAGCTAACTGGTATAGAAGTAAGTATATATTATATAGAAGTAAGTTGAATATGATATATATAATATAATATACTCCTCTCCTGTCATAATAGAGGAGGGATAAAGTGAAGTTTGTTTGGCCACAGCTTTACTTCCCAAGTGTTATTTAAAGTGGTGACCTTATGTCGGGGGGAGGAGGATATGGCATTTTTCTTTGATATGCACACTGACACGCGCAACAAATTTCCAACAATTTATGTTTTGTGGTAATTAAGTTTCACACACCGGGACGGATAAAATATTTGTTTACATTAATATAACCCATAATTTCATCTTGTAATAAAACTCTTATAAAATATTCAGCTCAATCACTGTTTGGAAATTAAATTACGGAGAATCTGACAAAACTGTTCAAACAATTTAATAAGATTAAAGATGATTTTGCTTGCTAGGAGGCAGGAGCTGCATAACACTGGGATTATTTGTATTGCTCATGAAGTTTCTTACATTCTCTACATTACACACACCACGGAGGGCGAATTAGTAAATAACGTGCTTACCAAACTGCTATAATATGAATTAAATAAGAGAGAAATGTAATTATGTTAAATTGTGTTTTGAAGAAGCTACACTGGAGGTTTGGTGTGTGTGTGTGTGTGAATTATATTTGTTTAAACTATAACTTTGATTCGGTTAGAGAAGTGCGTGTGTGTAGCATTGTTATGTTTAAATTTTATGAAGGAGCATCTACCAAGGCGGTAAAACCGCGAGGCCTGATCCAAAAGAGGTGGTAAAATTTCACAATTTTTATCGGTACTTTTGTGGATCAAATAACATTCTTTTACAAAACCGACTACCAGAGTAATTCCAGGTTAATAATCATGTATCAGGGGGGCGGAGTGATAATTTACTAGTTTCATATTTCTGTACCACTGTGTTAGTTAAGGAATATTGAACTCACTTATCTTGACTTGGCAGGACGAGCGTATTATTTGTTATCTAGTGTTAATTACTAAATTCCATGGCCTACATGGTGTAAGACTGTAAAGCTGTAAGTTGGGCCATGACATAGGCAAAACCGCATATATCGTGATTAAAATCCCTCTTCTGAAAGTCACGATGTCCTAAAATTCCCGCTGAATGTCTAGTTATTTCATACTAAATATCATTTGACGTCGCAGAAAATGATAAATTATCACGTGACGTAATATCTCTAACTCTTGAAATATCACGTGACGTAACATCTCTAACTCGTGAAATATCACGTGACGTAACATCTCTAACTCCTCTCTAATTTCAGGCTCACCTCCCCGTCCGAACCCGTTAGACACCTCCTTCTCTCCCGCCCAACTTGTCCTCGCCAACAACACAGAAACATTCCCCCAACTCAACGTCTACAAGCAGAACAACACCCTCCTCAACATTATGGGCTACAACTGTACCAACTCTCGGAACAAGCCCTTCCGGCGCCACCGCACGCGCTTTAACGACGAGCAAGTCGCGGCGATGGAGCGCTACTACACAAATATCAGCCGGTACGCGCGGCCGGACAACGGGCTCCCCGAGCTCATCAGAGAGACGGGGCTGACACACGACACGATAATGTTGTGGTTCCAGAACAAGCGCGCACGGGACAAAAGGAAAGGCTGGGACGATACAGGAGGCGGGGGGTCGGCTGGTGACGGAAAACGGGCTAAAACGGAGTGATTTTACAGATATCACGCTAATTGTCTCACCGTGTGATCACTTTTTAATCACGTTGTGTGATCAAACATTGGATAGCACGTTATATCACACGGTGTGATGAGAATTGTGTGTGGGTCGAGGTGCGTGTTTGTATAAATTAAGTGTGTCTGACGAGGCCGAGGGTTGTGATTTTATTGAGTTGATATCTCCGGATATCTCTAGTGGTATCTCTAGTTATATCTCTAGTGATATCTCTAGGTATCTCCGGATATCTCTAGTGATATCTCTAGGTATCTCCGGATATCACTAGATATCTTTAGTGATATCTCTAGTGATATCTGAGGATGTCTACATTGTCCGGTGATACCTCTGGGTATCTCAAGTGATATCTCTATGTCGCTACTGATATCTCAAGATATCTCTAGATATCTCAGGATATATCTAGTGGTATCTGGTGATATCTCATGATATCACAGGATATGTCAAGTGATTTATCTAGATATGTCGAGTTATATCTCTAGTGATATCTAAGAATGTCGCCAGTGATATCTCTAGATATCTCAGGATATCTCAGGATATCTCAGGATATCTCTAGTGGTATCTGGTGATGTCACTATGAATGGTTTCGTGTGAGTGTTGTGTGTTATTATGGGTTATTAAATTGCCCTTTTTCATTTCAGATTGGTTTGATTTTTCCGTTTTAATGTTTTCGCCTGTATGGGTTTCACTAATGTCGCCCTCAAGGCAAAGGGTTTCTTATTACCCGGATAATTACTACGAATTTTTCGGCTGTTTTAAATTTTGTGCCTTTTTATCTTGATAACCTTTGACTTAACCTGCATTTGAATGTTTTAAATGGGTATCAAATTACGATATCTGGATGCCTCGAGTTGGGTTTATATGGATGTAAAATCCGTGATGTACCATCATAACTATCCCACCATCAGATTTATGTATGATAAACTCGTCCAACTATTAATATTACTAAATATACGAGTTTGTTATGTTGATGTTTCGTGTGCATTTGATAATTTCATTTTTTTCCGAAAATGTACAATGTACATGTTAAAATATATGATCTAATACCATGCGTTTTAGATGGATTTTGGCCGAGTTGGTCTAATTTGGCCGAGTTGGTCTAATGATATGAGCCCTTTTTTTCACTGTAACCCAGAAAATACATATTAAGGCAGAAATGTAAGAGCTCTAAATATTTTGTTGTTTTCTAAAAAGGGCTATAAATAATTGGATACCTATGATATCTATTATTTTACCACATAATATTGCATGCCTCAACTACTTACTTTATTCATTTTATCATTAAAATAAGGTATCTGCTGGATAACTATAGCCTTCTAAAAGTTTTGAATGTAAAATGTTCAATAAGTTAAACAATGATATGGTATCGGTATTGTCCAAGAAGTTCACACTATCAATGAAAAGATAACAAATGTCCAACTTCATGGTTTGTGTTATACTTATTGGACACTGCTTTGGTGCTTGTTTAAAATAGTAAGATCGTACACAGATAACCCAGTCTCTCAACAAAGAAATAACATAATATGTCTTGGCATGCTATTTCGCGAGGGCCTGCAATCCTTAAATATTAACATGAACATTAGTCCCACATTCCACATCCCTACAGACGTTGTCACTTAAAACATATAAACTATATAGATACGTGTATTACTTTTACACGTCCTGTCGATTCTGCTTCCGTTTTTATACAACTTGCCAGCTAATGTGAGTCTAAGAGTGTAAGAGCATTGCTATTTGTGTACGAACTTCACGGTATTCATCATATATCTTTATTGTGCAATGATATGTGTAATAAATATATGCGAATTGATGTCAACTTCGTATGTATATATGTTATTTTGGCAGCGCTATGATATATTGTAATGATGATGATTCGAGTGACATCAAATTCCTTATTATCGAAAGAATCCAAAAGGCAATTATGTTCCTTTAGTTCACAGATATATCTTATCTTCTTCTGTTATCTTATAAATAGACTTTGTGCAAACTTTCAGACCTTAAATTCGAGTTATTTTATTTTTCGTGCTGTTTTTAAAAGCGTAAGGGGGAGGAGGGGTTGTGAATATTTATTTAGTAAATTATTCTTAACATTGCGAAAAAATTCAATTATGTTAGGTTTAAACTATATTTTGTTATACAATATAGAAACTGCTAAGAGAATTACTGCACAGCAACGGACTTGAATTATTGTTTGGAGCAAATTCGACTGAATGGGGTCTAAAATATGCTTTCGTTATAGACATGCATTGCGATTATTTTAAGCACATATTTGGGCGCTCGTGTAGGGTTAACTGCATATTTCGCATTTTTGTGTTTGAGTATTTTCTGATACGCTTAGTGTATAACTACCTTAAACTAGAAAGAAGATACCAAGATTCAGCCTCACCCGACAATATTCCCTAAATCCCACATCAAATTTAAAACATGTATTGTCAAGCAGCCAGTGCTTTGCCCAACTGTCAGACCAAGAATAAAACATTCTCACACTATCAAGTTAATTCAAGATTAAATAAAAGCAATTTGACCTTTCTCATCATAACCTATCCATTGATTTGGCGCCAATCGAAATTAGCTGAACTAAGACATGAAGTAAATGTGCCGAATGTGCACGTGAACCTGATGTAATGAATACATGTGGCACTACACGTGCTCCGATCACCTGCTTCTTGTTTCCATAATTGCCCTATTTAGAAAGCCCGTAATTACCTTTCTCTCTCCTGGACTTGGTATTTTCTGGTTATCCTCCATTTGGGATGATGACAATGCTGTATGTATGTAATAACTGATAGATCTTTTTATCTTTTTTAATGAAGATTCTCTTTTCTTATTCTATTTTACCGTGTATAATTAAAATGTACTATATTTGAATTGATTTATTCGTTACTGCTTATTCATGATTGAGTATCATTTTGTTGAATACAAATAAGTGTGAATGGCTAAGCGCTGTTAAGTGAAATTTAATGGAAAATTTTAAACTACAAAATAAGCCGTCAACTCTCTTTTCAGGCTTATAGACACGCATAAGTGTGTGATAAAATATCGAGTACCAATGCAATCGCTTCTCGTTTACAGAAATCCACAAAAGTACGGACCACTAATACGGAACGCGCGCCGAAAATGTGATGATGAAAATCAGAGGATTGCATGAGTTGGTTGGCGCGCGGTAAATAATATAATTATATAATATTTAATTCAATAATAAAATAATAAGTTCTACGTACCCAGCCTTAAAAAGAGATGATCGAGTTATTCATATACAGTCTCCTTAAAGTTCGCTACAACTATTGATTTATCAAATCACTACTCCTTTTCTTTGTCTTATCGCAAATTATTTGCTGGACCCATGTGCTCGACCAGATATTGTTCCTTCTGTATTGAGTTCGAAATTGGAACGGTGCCAAACCAGACACAAGGCGGATCCGGGATCTATAGGGTTTAAGCGGTTCTCTGCAACAAATATTTAGGTTCAAACTAAGTACCCAATCCTCGGTAACCTGCCATGATAGCAATCAACTATTATCATGATAAGTGAAATTTCTGCATAATATACAAATACTTTCCATTATAAAGAATGTTGGCTCTCAGCCGTCAGTACAATACTTTGATCTGTAATCATCCAATTTATGTCAGACTGTAAAATTTAGATGAAAGTACAATATAGTTCACATTCATTTGTTCTTTTATTCGGTTCTCACTTTGTTTGATCATACTAATATTTGTTTAGTTTGTTTATCAATTATCCGTACACAATACACATAATACACACATAATAATATCATAATATATGTGTATGTGTGTCTGTCTGTATATGTGCGTGCGTGTTTAATTTCCGAGTGCTTAATCAAGAAAACGATAAGAGTTACGGGACTGTTTTTTTTTTCGGTATATATATAAGTTTCGACAAAACTCTGACGAAGCCAAATGAATAAGGTTTTTCAAATTGGTCAGTGGTTTAATTGATGGTTTTGTACCACAAATGTGACATAAAATGGCTCTCTTTTCTCCTCCTCGTTCTCTCTCCTGTTACTGCATATTATGTAGCGTTGGTACATGAATCATAATTAGGTTAGCCACAAGATCAATACTAATTATCCCAAAATGTGTGTCTGTCTGTGTAGTGTGTCTGTGTAGTGTGTGTGTGTGTGTGTGTGTGTGTGTGTGTGTGTGTGTGTGTGTGTGTGGTGTGTGTGTGTGTGTGTGTGTGTGTGTGTGTGTGTGTGTGTGTGTGTGTGTGTGTGTGTGTGTGTGTGTGTGTGTGTGTGTGTGTGTGTGTGTGTGTGTGTGTGTGTGTGTGTGTGTGTGTGTGTGTGTGTGTGTGTGTGTGTGTGTGTGTGTGTGTGTGTGTGTGTGTGTGTGTGTGTGTGTGTGTGTGTGTGTGTGTGTGTGTGTGTGTGTGTGTGTGTGTGTGTGTGTGTGTGTGTGTGTGTGTGTGTGTGTGTGTGTGTGTGTGTGTGTGTGTGTGTGTGTGTGTGTGTGTGTGTGTGTGTGTGTGTGTGTGTGTGTGTGTGTGTGTGTGTGTGTGTGTGTGTGTGTGTGTGTGTGTGTGTGTGTGTGTGTGTGTGTGTGTGTGTGTGTGTGTGTGTGTGTGTGTGTGTGTGTGTGTGTGTGTGTGTGTGTGTGTGTGTGTGTGTGTGTGTGTGTGTGTGTGTGTGTGTGTGTGTGTGTGTGTGTGTGTGTGTGTGTGTGTGTGTGTGTGTGTGTGTGTGTGTGTGTGTGTGTGTGTGTGTGTGTGTGTGTGTGTGTGTGTGTGTGTGTGTGTGTGTGTGTGTGTGTGTGTGTGTGTGTGTGTGTGTGTGTGTGTGTGTGTGTGTGTGTGTGTGTGTGGGAAATTTCCAGACGGTTTAATCAAGAAAACGGTACTGCAGAGCAACAAGTTTCTTTGTAATAGTATTAGGAACAATAAAATAGTCAAGTTCAACAATGTTAGAGTCAACGCCGTGTTAGGGGGGGGGGGGGGGGGGGGGGGGGCGGCAAATCGTCGTTTGAATGTGGGACAATTTCGAAAACTTAACTAAAGTACTTGTAGGTGGGGGGGGGGGGGGGGCATGGGTTTTTTGTGAAACTTAATTTCGAAATAGTGACCGAACTTTTGAGGGGGTCCCGGACCCCAACCGCCAAACAGTGCCCGCGGGCCTGGCAGCCACGCCCATGATTTGGTCCAAATTAGGCCCAATTTAGCCAAATACCCTGAACATGCCCAAAACCCAGGTTTATGGTGCTTTACTTGTAGCTAGTGGTCTCCTGAACTTGTATATGAAATTTAATCAAGATTGGTCAAAAAAATTTGGCGGCCAAATTCAAAAATTTGCATGGCAAAATTCAGAATTTGGCCGCCAAATTTTTTTGGAGGCCTAAATTAAAAATCGGTTTCCTAGAATAAGGTGGAAATGCGATTTAGAGTCGATGCAAAAATTTTGAAAACTGATTGAGTTATTTCCAAATTGATGAAATCAATTCCGCGAATTTATCGCGAACGAAGATACGGGCAATTTTGTTCATTTTTTGGGGTATTTTCGCCTTAGTATCCACATTTAAACAGATATAAAGCTATAACTTACAGAGAATATGTAGTTTAGGCATACCTTTCATATAAAGTTAGTCTCATCCAAAAATATTGATATTTGACCAATTTATGGGACGAAATCTACCAAATTTGGTGCGTATGCCCAAATATGGGCATATGGTTTTTGGCTCATAACTCAGTCATTTTTTTCCAATCTTGATGAAATTTCATATAAATGTTCAGGAGACCACTAGCTACAAGTAGAGCACCATAAACCTGGGTTTTGGGCATTTTACGTATAACACATTTGGAAAACTTCGCACAAATGATAAACATGTACTCAGTACTGTTTCAGATTGGGAGTTTAAGGGCGCGATTCTAGTTCGACAACATGATAACGGAACTGTAGCTCCGTCTGGAGACGAAGGACTGTTGTATGTTACACTCGTTAACAAACAAACTGGAGAAGGAAGAGAGGGACAGTGTGTGATTATCATTACAACGTGCATACTACTCGTCTATTCTGTCAGAACATATTGGGATACTTTGTTAAAGCGGGAGCTCTTGGGGTAGTCTGAGCTACAAATATGTTCCTAAGTAAGTTTTTAGATAAGTTACCATGATTATCAGAAATTTGAGGACAGCGAACGACATGATTTTGAAAGTGTATCAAATCTGATAGATTAACTTAATTAATGTTAAAGGAGTTGGTTAGATTTGAACGATGTACGGGGCTACCGTAACGACTTATGTGGAGTATGACGAAGATGATAAGAAAATCTCAGACTGTAGTGCTAGCTTCAGCATACACGGCTTTGATCATAGAAGGGATGTCTGGCTGCAGTGTAGCCAGACATTAACAAAGAATCATGGTTAAAGATTTTAATCAAGGTGAACCTCGTATTAGAGTATAAAACTTTTTCGGCTGTATTTTTGGTTGTCGATAGCTTCGGAAGAGTTTTATTTTTATACTTTATGTTGATTGCAACTGTATTAGAGTAGGTAACGTGTAATACACGGTGTATAAACTTATACAGTGAAACTCTTAAAACCGGGCTTATCGGGAGAAACGAAAAATGCTCTCAAAAAAGTTCCATGATCCTAATCCCCAGTATCCTTAACCTCTCAAATAACATATCAAGTGTAGTTTTGCACTGGAATACAGCTTGATATGCACTTACTCGGTATGCACTCACATCACCATTCACCGCCAATACACAATAGCGATTATATTTTAATGACCGGCCTATAAACGGATTTGCTTCATAAAACGTTAATGCGGTTACAATTTTGATTGAAAACTTATTTAGACTCATCGGTCATAGTCATTCATTTCGTTAAAAACTATTTTACAGTGGATAACTATTTTACAGTTATATATTTTGTTTGAAATAAATTTCGTCGTCAAATTTTTAATGTAAATATTGATCGTTATGAATTATAATATGATCGAATTAATACTAATTCAAAATATGAGCATGACGTTGAAATGTCGGTTAAGATTAGGTCTAAAACACTCTTTTCGCGTTTTCTCAAACAAAATTTCAGCATTGATAACTCCGTTCATTTTACGGTATAACACAGAAATAGATTCTAAATATTTGTCAATATCATTATTTAAGTTTAAGAACAGTCAAATTTCAAAACTTTAACCAAAAACAAAAACAAAACTTAAATTTTCTGCTTAAAACAGCCATTTTAAATCTCCATTTCAGTGGCATAAATATTTGCGACAACTGCAGAACGTGTCGGAGAAAATCCGTTTTCCGTAGAATTATCTCCAGTCTCACTAACACATTTCTGTTTTAATTCTATCTGTTCTAATTCTATCACCTCAGTAGGTGAAGAAAGCAATGTTACTTTAAGGCTTAACGACGGTGAGGGGAATTCTGGGTTCGTCATGATAGTTTTTGAATTCTTCGTGATAGTTTTTGAGTTCGACACAACAACGGAATCTTCTTTAAGGTTAGGTAGTGGAACAGTTTCAACGGGGGATTTATACCCACTCTTTTGATAAGGATTACACAGGTTGATCTTCTTTCCCGTCTTCGGAGAGTTCAGCTTTCGAGATAGTCCTGGAATACCTGTTGATATTTTTATTAATCTTAAGTTTTGGTTTTAGTGGGATACCGATTGTTTATTTATTACATTAGTTATTGGTGCACTGTATTTCCAATATTATAAGCTAACAAAGATTATTTGACCCTTATAATTTCATATTCCTGGAAGCATTACAAATTCAACAATCCTTCATATACATGAAGGTACATGAAGGTTCTTCTAGACAGTAGAAGTACAGGATTTCATGCTTAAACCAAATAGCTAAAAATACCCGAAGAATGCAAATGAATCGATTGAAAAGAAGAAAAGAAAACTTAAAAACCAGAAAAAGGAATAATCGATGATACGAATGACTAAAGAATTTCAGTTTTAAAAAGGTAGCAGTAGTGAGCAAGACCCCACAGAAAACAACTGTTATACGTTGTGATCAGGAACCCACAAAAATAAGATGTGTAATAAGACGGTTCATGCTACACTCACGTCATCGTACGACCGAAGGATTGGGCTGCTGTAGAAGTCAAATGTTTGAATACAATTCGAAGTTAAAAAATTGTAAATAAGCTGGACTTTTTCGGCAGATCTCCAATTTGAGTAGCTTAAACTTAAACTGTACTATGTGTGTACCACGTGTGTACCACGTGTGTACCACGTGTGTACCACGTGTGTACCACGTGTGTATCACGTGTGTACCACGTGTGTATCACGTGTGTACCACGTGTGTACCACGTGTGTACCACGTGTGTACCACGTGTGTACCACGTGTGTACCACGTGTGTACCACGTGTGCAGTGAATGGGCAGCTCTATAAGAATTTAACTTAATAAAAAGAATATAAATTTAACTTTTGTGTTACTGTGATGTAATAAAGTGTGCTGTAATAACTATCCCACGTGCTGCACTTCAAACCCGCATGCTTTAATCACTCTCAGCAAGAATCTCATCAAACCAAATCAAATTGCAATCTTCACTCACAAAAAAAACCACCTCATTTGCATGCTCATTTTTACATTTTGCTGTCCATGCGATCAGGGCATTGGTCAGTGACTCCCGAGATTTTACTATCGGGTTGGTCAATAGAGGGGGTCAATAGAGCGGGTTGGTCAATAGAGCCAGTAGATACAGATCGGTTTGCTCCTAGAGTGGAAGACATTCTTTGAAACAGCTGGAGCGCTGAGTTGGACACCCGTTCTAACATAGGAGTAGCGTATAAAGTGGTAAAAATCAACAAAAGTAGCAATTACAATCGATGCAAATTAATTGAGAATCGAGCATCGTTTTTGTTGAATGTATTATTAATTGTAAAGAAATCCAGTCGACAGGAAAGAGCTATTAATTTTTCTTATCGTAAAAGCATGCTCTTCCTCGGTCCTTATGCTAGTGTCTAAATGTAAAGCGTGAAACATCAAAAACATGCAACATACAAATCTAGTTAATAAACTAACAACAGTTGCAATATCAATAAAACGATAAATGGTCATGTTTTATAATTTTACATCAGCGTTTTTAGACCGTCGCTTTGATCACAGATTTATATACAGTTACAGCACGACTAACTGGGTTTAGACAGTGTAATACCGATCATACCAAAATCAAAATCAACATTCATGATACAGCACATATAAAACTTACAAGGTCAATAAACATGCTCAGTGGGAAAATTCCGTTATACTTATAACACTTGAAAGAAAAAAAAACTGAGTTTTATACCTTAATTTAAGACTAAATTAAAGCTTACATATTGAAGAATTATTGTATTGTGAAATTGTGGCCCTGAAATAATAATAAATCACATAATTCGGAAAACAAAACTCAAATTGGATTATTTAATAATCAAACTTACTAGAGAAAATCTGAGTTCTTGTATCACGGAGGGTGGTACTGAGAGGACGTTTCAAACAGGGGAAGAACCTGACAATAAATTTGGGGTTAAACTTGGGATTTGGAGCATCATCCGAGCAAATCCTTAAATATTACGATCACTGTTAAATAACTCATCAATCATTTGTTTTTGACCAAAAAATCAATCGATGGACAAATTTATTTATGAATTATTGATTATTAAATAGATTAATAAATAGATTAAAGTGTTACTTTCGGATAGTTTCCATCCTGAGCGGATAAAGCCATGGGTTGACGAGGAGAGAGAGAAACATACACATGGTAAGATAGAGCCTCATCTTGTCATCACCCGTCTGTTAATTGAGTGTTAAACGTTTGTTAATTGACTGTTAATTAGTCTGCTAATTGTTAGCTAATTAGTTTATAACAGCTTTTTAATGCCTAAGCTAATCTATTTGTGGAGGCTGATAATTTAATATATCAAAGCGAGAGCTAATATAATGCTAAATTTCTTGAAGCTGATTAAGTTTAACGATAATGTATATTTAAAAAAAGTAAAAAGCTTAACAAATTAATAATTTAATTCTAGCTTACCCTCCATGCTATGCCAATGTCAAGCTTAACCAGGAAATTCACCATATAATCCACCACCCCAATCACGACAAATGGTCCATTCGAGATTAGAAAGACCAATGCCATGATCGACGTCGCCATCAGATTCTTTTGTATGCTTTGCTTCACTTTACTGAGGTAGTGGGGTAAATGTAATGAAAATTTGTTAACACATACTATTCATTATTCAACACCATCTATAAATTTGGAGACTTATGCTAATTATGGTCAGAAAATGGACCATCCCATTTCTCGTCCAATTTTTCAGCGTTTCGAAATCAGGAATAATTTGATCACAGTTAATTTCTACTACTTTCTTTTATTATACCTCTTCATCACGTTTGGATCCTGATTTGTATGACAGGTGAGTGCCTGTCTTGCTCTGAACCTACGAATGATGACAACCAATATGATGATGTTGCCGATAACAATAGACAGGAAGGTGAAGACCACACTACAAGTGTACAACACCACTTCAGCAACCGCTACTCGGCCAGGCCAGCTTGCCTGGGGAATTAGTGATAAGTGGGTTAAATGATAATTGTGGTGAAAATAACACTATATATCATGGGGTGAGACTGAGAAGTTCAACAATTACTAAATTGTCACATTTTTCATTGAGTACGCGTGAACCCGGATTGTGATAATCGTTTGAGTACCACTAATTAAAAAGATTGTGCTATTGCTAACGCCTCCATGTCAATTATTGAGCAGGTGCTGTTTTAATTCAACACAAGCAATACACAAGCAGTACACAAGCAATACACAAGCAGTACCTTAGTTTTGTCAGCTCCTAGACCAGTTTTCACTCCGTCCAACCAGATGTTAATGCTACAGGAAAGAGGCAAAGTAAAATTGATCGAATCAAATGTTGATATCACGGCGCCTTCATCTGGGTCCGGGTTCCTGAATGATGAACAGGATATGTGCGATATCATTTGTCCTCCTGATGGAAATCACTTTTAAAGTCCTTGCTCATTTTATCCTAATTTATATACATATTATAAAGTATTAGTTTATCTGAATACAGGGTGTTTCAAAACTTGTATCCACATTTCAACAGTCGCTCAAATTTAGTATTTTCATGGTATCGTTGATGCTTCAGCTTTGCTTTTCAATACGGTGCAAACAGTGAAGTTTTAGTAACAAGAAACTTTAAAGAATATCTATATTTTCGTTTAGTCAAAAATGAATTATGAAATTAGCACAAATTCAACAACATGCATTAACGATATTAATTGGTACTAACCAACATTGAGAAATATAATTTGTGGGGCGACTCGAGCTAGCAAAGGAAAGATTGTCATCCCGGCAATGATTCCTATGGTCAAACCTGAAAAATGGATATTTGAAATGAAACAAGGGTGGAATACACGGAAATTTGTTTTCTTCAACTCATGCTGACATTTGCAATGACTGTATAGTGTATATCGGTATTTGGTTAAAATTCGGTTCGAACTATGCACAGTTTTAATACTTTCAACACTACTATATAACAAATAATTTGAGGTTTTTACTGCGTTTTAAACGACGACCAACAGCTTTTAGTGGGTTTATCAAGTACTTTTCAGCACTTACCACTATATTTACTTGGTTTGAGTTAAAGTAGAGAGGTCTCAAATCCTTTACAGCAATGGTTATCACTGATGTCTATGACAAGATGGAAAAGGAGTTAGAAACGTTAAACGACAGTTTAAAAGGTAAGAAGAAGTTGGATACTATAATTGCGGATTCTTTAGACTTACCCACAGGGAATAACAAGCCGGATATGTTTGAAGTTATAAAGGAACTATACAGTTACAGTAAGAGGGCCCTGTCACTACTGAAAACCAAGTCTATACTAGACACACCTGCACCACAGGAAGGGACAGCTACCGAGGCACTAGATATAGTGAGAAAGGAGCTAGCACAATTTAGACAAATTCTCATTGAGCACAATAAAGGTGGTCCAGATATTATACCTGAGATTAAGACCAATCTCGGACCCAGTGAGACTCATACTTTAACTCTGGAAGGGCAGAATGAGGCAGATAAGATAACAGAAGAACTCTGGTCCTCAAAGGGGAAGAAACATGTTGCATCAATACTGCCCAGCATCCCTATTAAGGGGGTCTCAGGTGTCAAAGAAGGCACAGCAAGGTTAATATTCAAGAACAAGGAACTTATGGAGAAAGCTAAAGATGCTCTTAGTGTGGACTACAAAGTGTCTGCAAAATCCCACACCGTGACAATGCTTGAACCTAAGCTTACTATGTATGATCTCAAGGGAGATTTTGAGTCATCTGAAGAATTGCGCCAGAGCATCCTTGATAAGAACAGTTCCATTAAGAGTTTAGTTGAAGATGAGAACAACACTTTCAAGGTTATTTTCCTGGAGAAAAACAAGACCTGGGCATGCCTACAAGTGTCAGTGAAAATCAGGCAGTCTATAAGGGAGTCAGGTGACTTTGTACACGCTGATCTTGGACAGTATAAAGTTAAGGATAGGTATCATGTAATCCAGTGCTTTGACTGTCAGAGCTTCGGACACATGAGTGGCAGTGATTACTGTAAGTGTAAGAAGTATAATGCCGACCCAGTGTGCTTCTACTGTGCAGGTGCCCACAAATCGAAAGATTGTGAGAAGAAAACGGCGGGCCAAAGATCTAGTATCAGGTGTCCGAACTGTAGCAACAGTAAAGACAAGAATGTCAAAGATAAATGCAAGACACATTCTGCAGCTGACAGATTATGCCCATCTTATGTGAGAGAGCAGAGTTATATCATGGCCAGAACGAGCGGATGTGAAACATCAAAAAACTCTTATCTCCAGTGGGCAAAGATTCGACAAAGAGAGCTTGGGATAAACTAGTCTTAGCCACGTTTAATGTTAATCGTCTAGTGAACAAGACAGTAGAGGTTCTTGAGCATCTAACTGATGAGGGGGTTGATATCTGTTTTCTTCAGGAGACTTTTCTTAAGGAAGCAGATACTGCAAAGCTACAAGAGATACGAGATTATGGTTGGGGTATTTTATCCAACCCAAGGAAGCATCGTAGTGGTGGAGGAAGAGGTATGATTTTCAATAAGAACCTTAAGTTGAAAAGCAACGGTAGAGTCAAGAAGTACAAGTCTTACCAAGTCATGGAAGTTGTACTTGAAACAAATAGTGGGATAATCAGACTTATTGATGTGTATAGACCGCCTTACACCAAAAAGGCCAGGTACACTGAGTGCCACTTCTTGGAAGAATTCAGTGAATACCTGTGTGATTTGTCCGGTAAGCCAGGAACCCCGGTGATTGCAGGGGATTTTAATTTACATGTTGAAAGACCTAAAGATCTTTACCCCGCAAAGTTTCTTTCCCTTCTTGATCAGCTTGGTTTCATCCAATGTGTACCACTAGAAAGAACTCACAACCAAGGAGGAACTCTTGACCTCGTGATAACGACCAAAGTCTTCAAAGACTCTATAACTTCTATCAACATTGTGAAATCTGGGACTAGATCAGATCATTTTCTTGTTAAATTTGTAGTGTCTGTGAGCCTGAAGACCTCTTTGAATGATACTAGGGTGATGAACTACCGTGATTTTAAAAGTATTGTGGTTGAGGATTTTAAAGCAGATATTTTGGTTTCTGATCTCTGTAAAAGAGATGCTTGGTGCTCTGAGAGTCTTGATGATTCAGTTAAGATGTACAATAGTATTCTATTGGAACTTATGGACAAGCATTGTCCTGTGACCAAACCTTGGATGGATCAGGATCTGAAAGCTTTACAGAGGCAGAGAAGAGCAGCTGAGAGAGCCTGGAGGAAAGGCAAGGGACAGAAGGATATTTTTGTCAACCTCAGGAACAAATTTACTGTCATTGAGCGACAGAAGAGGATTACTTACAATAGAAAAGCCCTCTTAGCCTCTGCGGGAGATACGAAGGCTCTGTACAAGAAAGTTGATAGACTCACGGGTGAAACTACCCAAGAAAGGCCACATGGTAATGACACTAAAAAACTTGCAGAAAGTTTTAAAGTTTTCTTTGCTGATAAAGTGAATGATATCAGACTTGGGATAGAAGAAGAAGGAAGTCATATCGGAGGGAACTTGTCATCGTCAGAGAATCTTGAAAGCACCTATTCAGGGCCATCATTTGATAAATTTCACTCCATCACTAGGCAGCACCTGTTACACACCATTTCTAAGATGTCTAACAAGTTTTGTAGTCTTGACCCTATTCCAACTTTCATGTTGAAGAAATGCTCTCAGGAGTTGGCACCGATCCTCCTGCACATAATAAACGGTTCTATGTTGCAAGGTGTGTTTCCAGCCGAGATGAAGACTGCACTGGTCAAGCCCACAATCAAGAAGAAGAACGCTGATCCAGATATTCTGAAGAATTACAGACCAGTCTCAAATCTTGCAGTTATGTCTAAACTGATTGAAAAAATTGTACTTGAGCAGTTGAACAATCATTTACATTTGAACAGTCTGCATTGCCCGGTTCAGTCTGGATACAGAGCGAACCACAGTTGTGAAACCCTGATGGTCAGGATGGCAGACGATATTCTTAAGGAAGTGCAGAAGAACAACATTGTGATTGTAGTCCTACTTGATCTCTCTGCTGCTTTCGACACGATTGATCATACAATCCTTCTTAAGAAGCTGGCAAAAGATTTTGGCATTAAGGACTCTGCATTGAAATGGTTTAGTTCATACCTCTCAGGCAGGTTTTTCAAGGTTAAGTTAGATGACTCATTATCTGACTTCCTGTGTCTGTTGTTTGGGGTACCCCAGGGCTCTCTATTGGGACCTATCCTGTTCATCTTATACATTAAGCTGCTCCAGGAAATAGCTAGGAAGTATGGTCTCGATATACAGCTTTATGCAGATGACTCACAACTTTATATAGCTTTCCACCCGATGAGACCCATGGAGCTGCAGAATGTCACTAGTAGGATCAATGACTGTCTGTCTGAAATCAAAGTATGGATGGTTAATAATTTCATGAAACTGAATGAGAGCAAGACAGAATTGTTAGTCATTGGAAAGCCTTTGGTACTGAAGAAGTTTGACCTTGAAATAACAATAAAGTTTGGTGACACCATCATTACACCAACTGTATGTAAAAACGATACCTGGAAGAGTCTTGGAGTGTTACTAGATGAATCTCTCAACATGGAAAGGCAGATAAACAACGTTAGGAAGAACTGTTGCTGGACAATGAATAATCTAAGAACTATCAGAAAGTATCTAGATGAGAGAGTTAAGCTCATGCTGGTCAAACAACTGATCATATCAAAGCTGGACTATTGTAATGCCCTTTACATGAATCTTTCAAAGACTAGAGTGAAGAAGCTGCAATCTGTTCTAAATGCAGGGATACGTTTCATTTATGACATCTATGACAGAAATACTGACTTGTCTCCTTTCTACAAGAAAGCTCATATCCTCCCTGTTGAAAAGAGGATATTTTTCAAAGTGTGCCTCATCTGTTTCAAAGTGGCCCATGGATTGGCACCAATGTACCTCCAAGAGTTGGTTCAAATGAACAGAGATGATAAGGCTGTCAAAGAAACCAGAACAAAAACAGCATGCAACCTTCTTATGAAGATACCTAAGTTCTCTAAATTCCACGAATTTCCACGAAGGAGCCAGCAGACGACCGGATGTCTTCCTAGCTGATAAATACCTACGTCAACTAGAAAGGGATTATTGCGAAGACCTTCTTATTGATAATAGAGACGCCTTAGTCTGGCTCGACAACATCAACAATACCCTGGACACAGAACTCAAAAGCAACATTAAAGCATTCACATTTGATTACAAAGCTTTATATGATTCATTGAGTCCCCACCTCACACTCCAAGCTTTGAAGGTGGCCATGGAAGAAAAGAGACCAGAATGGTCCGCCAAATTTAAGGAGTGGTTGATAAGAAGTGTTGAACTCAGCTATGAGTCGTCTATAGGCAAATTTAACGGAGAGTGGTACAGACAAAAACGAGGAGTACCGACAGGAGGCAGTATCTGTGTACAACTTGCAAACATAGCAGTATACCATGTCATGCGTGAGCAAGTCTATTCAGACACGGAACTAATGGAACCTGTAAAATCGGTCAAGAGATACATAGACGACGGCTGTGGAGTATTCCATGGTACGAAAAGACAGTTTTCAAAATTCATCGCGACTGTCAATACAAGGCTAGCAGAACTTGGCCTCCACATTGATGAGAACATCATAGAAGATAACAATGTTTATGTGGCGTTCTTAGACATAAAATTTTGTTTCGACACCGCAGGTGATCTTCAGACAGACCTCCATGTTAAAGAGACTGATGCTCGCTCTTACCTGTACTTCGGTTCCCACCACCCGAACCATACATTCAGCAGCATAGTCTATAGTGCATGCCTGAGACTCCGGCGAATCATCAATGATAACGACAGACTCCGAAAACAAATTGATGAATTAAAAACCTTTTTCTTCCAATCCAACTACCCTAAAACTATGGTAGATAACATCAGTGAAAAAGTCAAAGGCTTTGAAAGATGCCTCAAACCACTGGACAACTCAAACAGCAGTATCCTGGTCCCAAAGTCTCCAGAACCAGCAGTCCGCGTTATTTCAACATTTGGCAGCGATCAAGAGTTAGTAGAATCGGTAAAAAGATTGGAACCAGAACTCAGTAGAACCAGGAGCTTCTCAGGATTATCTGGTTCCCATACAAGTGGAAACACCCCAGGCTCCCCAATATCATCTAGAGCCGGTACATCACGCCCTATCTTCAAATTCGTCAGACGTACTGGAACATCATTTAGAAGGAAGTTAGTCAAAGCAAAACAGTTTGCGGATGACTTAACCCAACCTCACACAAGACCATGTGGGGGCAGACACTGCGGTACCTGTAACATCATATCTCCACATCCATCAATAACAGTCAATGGACAGCGAGCCAAAGCAGTGTCTGGTACATGTGTCAGCTACAATGTTGTATACATCTTCAGTTGCCAACTTTGTAATATGTGTTATGTAGGAAGAACGGTGCAGCCCCTAAGGGCACGAGTAAACGAACATCGCGCCCATTACTACAAACTCATTTCGGACAATACGTTTGTCCCTGAAGAAAACGACGACGGATTCAGCTTGGGTAAACACCTTGTAGAAGTTCATAACATGAAACAACGTGACAATTTCAACCAGGCTTATAAAGTGTCAATTCTCAGTAATAGTAGTCCAAGAACTCTAGAAGTAGATGAACACCGTTATATTCAGAAACTAAGAACTATACGTCCATTGGGGCTCAATGCCGTGGACCCGTTTGGGATTCCATTATTGGATTTATCTTAAAAGTTTTTCCATTGCATTGGGGCACAAAAGTTATGTTTTTAAAAATATTCATAGGTATCGTTTTTAGTTGTGTCATTTCATTTCCAATGTTACACTTTGTAGGAACTGATATTAACCGAGTTTCTGATTCAGGATGTTACTGAAGATAGTAATGAAAATGTTTTAACACCTCAGTACTGTGTTTTACTACAGCTCAACCTGCTCAGTCTGACTATTTGGGAATTTAAACTCTTGATAGTTCTCTAAATTGAAGGCAACTAGCAGGCGGTTCAGCAACTATGCACCTGAATCATGGAATTCTCTCCCTCTTAATGTCCGTAACATCGATAATATTATCTCTTTTAAGGGTAAGTTAAAGAACTATTTGTATGATCAGCTATAGCCTGGTTAAGCTATTTTTTGTGGCTTCTAGTCTTTTTTGTGTTATTTTTTGTTTTCCGAGTATCCACTTCTTGTTTTTCTGGTTTTTATCGGTGTGTCAATAAAATCAATTATGTAATATGTATACTTTAACCATTTTTTGCGACAGTTAATCTGATATTATCTCTTTAACACTATTTAGTATTTTTTGATTTATGAGACCCGTGTTTTGTTTTTAACTTTCTGCTCCGAGGAGGAGAGAAAGTTATTTGAGGAGAGCCGCTCAGACATGGGCACCGTATTGTGTAAATTATTTAGTTTCTTTATACAATATCTTTGTCGCATAGTAGCGGGGTAGTAAATACAGTGTTTCGTTTCGTTTTCGTTTCGACGGTATTAATTTTGTGGTTGAATTTAAGCATGGTCACAGGTCAGAATTGCATACGATTTGGTAGTTTTCGTGCACGTTATGTCGTTATAACCACTTGATTTACGTGTCGATAAACTCTGTCGTAATAACATAAATATTGTTTACGTTGTATATTCTTTCTCGCTATAAAACACGAACACAATTCCTAATTACTCACGATTTGAGACCCAAATCTTGTAGCCTAAGGGTCGTAAGATGTGGACACAGCGATCAATACAGATGATAGCTATGATGATTGATCGGAAGAGAAACATGTAATCCAGCAGAAAGTAACCGGCAACTCTGGGAGAAAATTTAGTATCTTTTGAGAAATTTGAATGTTTAAAAACTAAAAAGGCGGGACTTTCATTCGAAGAAACTGTGGAGAATCGCGTGAGGAGTTTGCAGTAATTTGATTTAACTCTTGACAATAATTCTGCAATTCGATTGGTTGATGCAGCAAGCTGATGATCAATCGCTGACACATTAAAATAAAATTTGTTTTCTAATTGCAACCTCAATTAAGATCAAAATTATTATCATGATAATCCTTGATTCTTGTGACAAACCTTGAATAGTGCACCATGACTTTGGGATGCTGTTCGCTGAAGTAGTCCGCAAATCTCATGTGTATAGCGGTGGGGAGGCCAAGTAACAGACCCAGCAGCAAGTCAGCGAAGGAGAGGAACATGCAGATTATGTTGGACTGTGAAAATGGGAACTGAAATGTTTTAGAGTTATGAAATGAAAGGAAATGAAATATCGCATTTATATCCCGCTTATATTAACGACCAATATTATGGAAAAATAAAAATTGCCCACGTCAAATTGGCTGGCATGGTGACAAAAGCATAATAATTTAGACTGATCCAGAATGTTTATTCCCAGAGGGAAGAGGGTGCAGATTTTGTTAGACTGAGAGAATGGGGGTTAAATTGCTTAAGTGTTTGAGGAAAAAGCAAATTATCATTATCCATACTTTAAATAACTAATTTTTACCTGAACGAAGTTTTTCCAGTTTTTGCTCACTACAAATATCGTATAGATGTTCATGATAATAGATATCATGACCACGACACCCAGTAAGTCTCCAGCGACCACCAGATCATCTACCGTCATCTTTATCTGCTCCGCTGAAACGATACTTCATCACGAAAGAATAAACTAATTACAACACTACAAATCTATTACATTTATTGAGAATTATGTAGTGTAACGCGATGGAAGTATTTTAAGCGGGCATATCCTGTCCAAACCCAGGATGCACGGCATAAAGAATTTGTTTTAACTTGTTTGTATGAAAAGCATCAATAAGTAAATCACAAAAGAAAAAACATAAGTAAATCACAAAAGAATAATTCGTCGTTGATAATTCTGTTTACAGATCAGCTAATTGTTTGTCTTCGAGTTTGATTGATCATGCAAGTATTTTATCCATGAATGATGAATCAATGCTAAACATCAGGGACGCCTCAATTTTTCATATCTAAATGCAATTCAGCTTGATATGGCTTCCTGTAAGTGGCTAGTACAAGCACAGACTCGAATCAAACGTGTACTACTTCCCCACCATAGCCCACCTGAATAGTCAGTTAAAACTCACCAATGTCAGGTCTGGGATCATTTGTGGTGATGTCAGGAAGAGGAGAGGTGGAAGTAGAGGTTGTAGCAGCTATGGTGCTGTTCCCTGCAGCTGTAGTACTTGCCATTTTATACTATCTTGTTGTGATCTAGTGGTTGCAGGGTTAGTGATTTGCCTTGAATATGAATTGCCAGTTCAGACTTTTGATTGGACGACATCTGTCTGACAGCGACATCGGTCCGACCCAGAAAATAGGTTATTCGGACAATAGTTTATGTCGGATCCTACCGTGCGATTTTCTTGAAACTTTGTATGGTAGTTATAGGACGGATAATCTGTGTAAGTTTGAGCGAGTTTCTATTTGCCAAATTTGAGATATCACCTTAAACACAAAAAATATCTCCAATTCGGTGGTTTGCAGTGGTACCAAGGCATATATCTGGAGATCCAACGATACGATTTTCTTAAAACTTTCTAGATAGTAAGATAGCTTTAAGACAAACAATTTTTGCAAGTTTGGGTGAATTTCTATGTGCCAAATTTGAGATATCACTTCAAACACAAGAAAATAGTGCTGTCGGACAGATGTCGCTGTCGGACAGATGTCGTGTTACCCAGACTTTTATAGATTTTGCAAAATTCGTCAAGATCATGAATCATGACTTGTGCTGTTAAAACCGCTTTAAGTATAAAACTCAATGACAGAGCCTAGGAGCCAGCAAATAAAAGTGGCATAGAGGGAAGTGGCATAGAGGAGTTGGCGGGGTGCTCAGTCAAATCTTTGAAGCGACACACGTTCCTCAGATTAGTTATTACTCTGGCCCCCACAAACCTAAAAAAAAAATATTACAGTCAGTTCAAACCCTGGCCCTCAGTCAAATCTTTGAAGCGACTCACGTTTAGCTATTACTCTGGCCCCCACAAACCTAAGAAAAACAATATTATAGCCAGTTCAAACCCTCAAACCCTGGCTGCCTAACGTATAAGGCTGTGTCTCATAGTCATTCCTTAATGAAGTGAGGCTCACGTGCTCTGATAAAATTGCCATTAATTCAACAGAATGCACGGGAGTATTGTGATCATTCTTACAGATCAATTTTAGTGCAGTATGTGATCGTTCTAGTATATTATACAAGAACGATCACATACTATATTAATTTATATGTATTAGCTCTTCTCTATATTAACACACACCTGTTTAAACTATAGCTACAAAATGTAGTAATAATCAGTCCATTGCTCCAAATCCTTAAACTGAAAGGAAAGAATGAGCGCAATTAACCAGCAAACCAACGTGCACTTCTCTCATCTCTTCAAGATTCATTAATGCTTGTGTAAGCAGTGATTAATTGAGATGAATTTAGGGTAATATTGTGTAATATGTAGATAGTGTAATGATTATAATAAGGCGGTCGTGGTGTCCAGTATGTGACGGTAGTATTTTGGGCATATATTAGTATACGACAGTTATTGCAGTTTAAGTGCAGAGAGGTCAGTTTAACATATGTTTGGGTCAGTACGAGGTTGAGTTATGGAGTGTTTACAGAATACTAGTGTTACAATGTTGTGGCTATCGACAGGACAGTTTGCAGTTCCCGGAAAGTGGTGGATTGTTTGGACTATCGGGGGCGGGAGGAAAATAGGGTTAGCCTTTTGAGATAGAAGAGTGCCAGTTTACCCGATCGAGAGGGGGGTCATTTTGATACCGGGCAGGTTCTGTAGCTAGAACCTGTTGAGGTTAGGTCGTTTAGTTAGGTAGATGGTTATAGTGGTAAGTATAATATTGGCGGCCGTAGAATAGTGGAGCATTACGTAGTTACTATTATCAGGCTTGGTTGTGGCCGGGGTCAACAATGGTTGGTCCGACACCAGGGGATGTCTTGACAACACTGGGCTCGATGGCAGAGCGAGAGTCAGCAATGGTTGACTCAGATAGGTAAAGCTAGACTAAGAGTAGGAGCCCGGGAGAAATAGTCAGCGCTGGTTGACTTAGATAGATAAAGCTAGACTAAGAATAAGAGCCCGGGAGGAATAGTCAGCAATGGTTGACTTAGATAGATAAAGCTAGACTAAGAGTGAGAGCCCGGGAGGAATAGTCAGCACTGGTTGACTTAGACAGATAAGGCTAGACTAAGAGTAAGAGCCCGGGAGGAATAGTCAGCACTGGTTGACTTAGATAGATAAAGCTAGACTAAGAGTAAGAGCCCGGGAGAAATAGTCAGCACTGGTTGACTTAGACAGATAAGGCTAGACTAAGAGTAAGAACCCGGGAGGAATAGTCAGCAATGGTTGACTCAGATAGGTAAAGCTAGATTAAGGGTAGGATTAACGGCAGGAAGTGTGTTGCGTAATATTTGAGGCAGTATGAATCGGAGTAATTAGGAATTTGTTGCATAGTATTTGAGGCAATATGAGTCTAAGTGACTAAGCGTTGGTTAAGCAAATATTCGATTATTCATTGTCCAGTTAAGTACCTTGGGCACCTTTATTATACCCCTTGTTTGCATTCTCACCCTATTCGATAGAGGGTCATGGTTGATACCGGACTAGTGTAAGGGACCAGGACCAGTTATGGTTGGGGCCTGGTGAGCACGGATGGAACGTGTCGTTAGAGGTTTAGAATCGACAATGGTTGATTCAGGGCGTCTAGATCAGAGCAAGAGGAAGAACCAACAGAGCAACAGTGGTTGTTTCAGGGCACCTAGATTAGGCACGGTCAAGGCGAGTTGACCGTGCTATCCGTGTTTTATGTTGCAGCACTAGATCGCTGGGCGTTTATGGGCGATACGAGTCTGGTTAATTAGGATTTGAAGTAGAGGTTGTCGAATTATTCATTGTGTTGTTTCATAGTTTAATTTTGTTTACCCTTTATTATCACGCTCGTTTCCATTGTCCAAACCCTTAATTAAATGCAAATAAACTTCGAACCGGGAAGCAAGTGTCCACTGCTTACACTTGAATCATGATAAATTGATAGAGAACGGGAAATTCCGTTAAAAATGTAAGTCAATATACCCATGATGCAATGGATATTGGCCAGAGATGCAACTCAATTGTTCATGGGTTTTACTCTATTCAACAATAAGATGCTGCATAAAGATCAACACAAACAAAGTCCGTATAGCAATACATTATTAACTATTAAGCGGAGACTATAAAGTACGGTATAAAGACACAAACAAAGTCCGTATAGCAATACATTATTAACTATTAAGCGGAGACTATAAAGTACGGTATAAAGACACAAACAAAGTCCGCATAGCAATACATTATTAACTATTAAGCGGAGACTATAAAGTACGGTATAAAGACACAAACAAAGTCCGTATAGCAATACATTATTAACTATTAAGCGGAGTCTACAAAGTACGGTATAAAGACACAAACAAAGTCCGTATAGCAATACATTATTAACTATTAAGCGGAGACTATAAAGTACGGTATAAAGACACAAACAAAGTCCGTATAGCAATACATTATTAACTATTAAGCGGAGACTATAAAGTACGGTATAAAGACACACTCAAAGTCCGTATAGCAATACATTATTAACTATTAAGCGGAGACTATAAAGTACGGTATAAAGACACACTCAAAGTCCGTATAGCAATACATTATTAACTATTAAGCGGAGACTATAAAGTACGGTATAAAGACACAAACAAAGTCCGTATAGCAATACATTATTAACTATTAAGCGGAGACTATAAAGTACGGTATAAAGACACAAACAAAGTCCGTATAGCAATACATTATTAACTATTAAGCGGAGACTATAAAGTACGGTATAAAGACACAAACAAAGTCCGTATAGCAATACATTATTAACTACCTATTAAGCGGAGACTATAAAGTACGGTATAAAGACACACTCAAAGTCCGTATAGCAATACATTATTAACTATTAAGCGGAGACTTATAAAGTACGGTATAAAGACACAAACAAAGTCCGTATAGCAATACATTATTAACTATTAAGCGGAGACTATAAAGTACGGTATAAAGACACACTCAAAGTCCGTATAGCAATACATTATTAACTATTAAGCGGAGACTATAAAGTACGGTATAAAGACACACTCAAAGTCCGTATAGCAATACATTATTAACTATTAAGCGGAGACTATAAAGTACGGTATAAAGACACAAACAAAGTCCGTATAGCAATACATTATTAACTATTAAGCGGAGACTATAAAGTACGGTATAAAGACACACTCAAAGTCCGTATAGCAATACATTATTAACTATTAAGCGGAGACTTATAAAGTACGGTATAAAGACACAAACAAAGTCCGTATAGTAATACATTATTAACTATTAAGCGGAGACTATAAAGTACGGTATAAAGACACAAACAAAGTCCGTATAGCAATACATTATTAACTATTAAGCGGAGACTATAAAGTACGGTATAAAGACACAAACAAAGTCCGTATAGCAATACATTATTAACTATTAAGCGGAGACTATAAAGTACGGTATAAAGACACAAACAAAGTCCGTATAGCAATACATTATTAACTATTAAGCGGAGACTATAAAGTACGGTATAAAGACACAAACAAAGTCCGTATAGCAATACATTATTAACTATTAAGCGGAGACTATAAAGTACGGTATAAAGACACACTCAAAGTCCGTATAGCAATACATTATTAACTATTAAGCGGAGACTATAAAGTACGGTATAAAGACACAAACAAAGTCCGTATAGCAATACATTATTAACTATTAAGCGGAGACTATAAAGTACGGTATAAAGACACAAACAAAGTCCGTATAGCAATACATTATTAACTATTAAGCGGAGACTACAAAGTACGGTATAAAGACACAAACAAAGTCCGTATAGCAATACATTATTAACTATTAAGCGGAGACTACAAAGTACGGTATAAAGACACAAACAAAGTCCGTATAGCAATACATTATTAACTATTAAGCGGAGACTATAAAGTACGGTATAAAGACACAAACAAAGTCCGTATAGCAATACATTATTAACTATTAAGCGGTGACTATAAAGTACGGTATAAAGACACAAACAAAGTCCGTATAGCAATACATTATTAACTATTAAGCGGAGACTATAAAGTACGGTATAAAGACACAAACAAAGTCCGTATAGCAATACATTATTAACTATT